TGAGGTTGAGTTGATCACCAATGGCCAATGATGTAATCGATCATGCCTATGTAGTGAAGCTTCTGTAAAAACCCAAGAGAACAGGGTTCAGAAAGCTTTCCAGGTTGCTAAACACATGGAGATACCGGGAGGGTGTTGCATCCTGAGAGGGCGTGAAATCTCCACATCCCTTCTCACATACCTTGTCCTGTACCTCTCTGTTCATCTGTATCCTTTATCATATCCTTTATTGACATGATAAACCTGTAAACATAAGTGTTTCCCTTATTTCTGTGAGCCCTCCTAGGAAATCAATCAAACCCTAGGAGGGGGTAGTGAAAATTCAGATTTATAACTGGTTGGTCAGACATACAGGTGACAACGTATGACTTGCAATTGGCCTCTGAAGTGGAGGGCAGCTTTGTGGGACTGAGCCCTCGACCTGTGGGATCTGACTCTCATCTCAGCTATGTAGTGTCAGAATTGAGTTAAATTGTAGGACAACCAGTTGGTGTCCAGAGAATTGGTTGGTGTGTGGGGGAGAATAAGGAAAAAACTTTTTTAATTTAGAAATTTAGCAAAACATGAAAATTCAGATTTATAACTGGTTGGTCAGACATACAGGTGACAACGTATGACTTGCAATTGGCCTCTGAAGTGGAGGGCAGCTTTGTGGGACTGAGCCCTCGACCTGTGGGATCTGACTCTCATCTCAGCTATGTAGTGTCAGAATTGAGTTAAATTGTAGGACAACCAGTTGGTGTCCAGAGAATTGGTTGGTGTGTGGGGGAGAACCCCACATACGTTTTGGTGATCAGAAGTGAAGTATTCTGTATTGAGTGTGACAGTAGGAAAAACAGTTTGGTTCTTCCTCTCCCTTACACTAAGCCGTTCTTTAGATGTCTGGATTATTTTACCTGTAATTGGAACAGGGTGGAGAGGAAAGGGGTAAAGAAAGCTATAAAACAAAACCAAGAGGAGGAGACAGAGGGTGAATAGGGGTTAACCAAGACAGCCTCAGCCTCTCAAATGATTCCTGCACACATTCCCAGGTGATCACATGGGCTTCCCTTCATTGACGGAGCCAGAGTCCTGTTGGGGCCCAGAAAGTGATACCCCAAAGTGAAGGCCTCAGAAGCAGCCTCAAAACAAAGTTTTCCTCTGCCCTTCTCCCGCCCTCCTGTCTCTCAGCCTCATTCTCACCGAGGCAGCCGTAGACACTAGAATCCCTCTTCCCCAGGGCGGGTCATAGATATACTCTAATCTTCCTCCTACCCCTCTTTCTGTCTTGGAGTTGTCCATAAAGAAATTCTCTGGCACGCCTTGTCTAACTGTAGGTCATAAGACACCCATTCCAGAAAGGGCCCACACCATACCTTGGAGGACTGAATGCTACACAGAGAGGCCAAGGAGAATCTGAACAGACAGGCCTGCTGGGTTTCCCCACTCAGTCTGTTAACATTAGATCTTACTTTTCTTGTCCAATCACATTTCTGCGAGGCTATGCCTACCTCATAGAACTTAAGCATAAATATGGACAATTTTTTTCTATATCTTTGGGTCTTCAATCTGAAGGCTCCTGTGTCATGTAAACCTATGATATAATAAAATTTGTTATCCTTTTTTTTTTTTTTTTTTTTTGGGGGAAATATGGACAATTTTTTTCTATATCTTTGGGTCTTCAATCTGAAGGCTCCTGTGTCATGTAAACCTATGATATAATAAAATTTGTTATCCTTTTTTTTTTTTTTTTTTTGTGGTGGGAGGATACAGGGATCCGAATGCTTTCTTTGTATTAATTTGTGTTTATCAGGTGAGTTTTCAGACAACATTCAGGGGATTGAAAAGGATGTCTTCCATTTCAAGGGGGGAAGCCAACGATGTCTTCCCTTGGCTCCCTCACTCCCATCTTCAATTTGTACATAACAGGAGAAACTTAGCCAATTGGTTGGATGGAGGGAGGGAGAATAACTCAATAAATCCTCAGAGGAAACCTTGTAGGATAGTCTGTAACACAGAGGGGGGCTATCATGCACTTATGACACGTGCTGCTTTAGCAGTGCTTCTGGAGTAAACACGAGTCAATCAGAAAGTCTTACATTTTCCTACCCTTCCCATCTGGTTCTGCCACTAAATCATTTGTGGCTTATTCTCTGGGAGTGATAAGCAGTCACTTCTGAGGAATGTCCACAAAGAGGGAGGGGAGTTTAGGAATCTCTACCCACAGGGATGTTGAAAAGATGTGGGGGGTGATTGAATGACCCTTGAAATGAGAACAATCTCATAGGGTAGAAAGGAATCCCAAGCCCATTCATTCCCCCTTCAAAATTCTCGAAGCCCCTGAGACCCTCCCTCCAACTGCTCACTCATGGAGCTTGATTCTAAAAATGAGAATTATTATGTTAGTACATGTGGCTGAAGGAGACACCTACAGTGACATGGGAGATAGGTGCATCAATCAAGAAACCAGAAACAACTCTATGTAATTCAGAAGGAAATTTTATACAGTGGGTTAGGTTATTTTTTGTTGTTTTTGTTTTGTTTTGGTTTGTTTGTTTGTTTGGGGGTTCTTTTGGTGGCTGGTTGGTAAGGGGATCCGAACTCATGACCTTGGTGTCATCAGCACCATGCTCTAACCAATGAATTAGGTTGTTATAAAACTGTTGGAGAAGCTGCAGAACTGAATGTTGGTGAGTGCACCATTAGCTTTCAGGTTTACTTCTGCAGCTGCAATCAGGAGAATCTGCTGCCACAAAGAGGTCAGAAAACCACTGGAAACTGCCACTCACAGTCACAGTTGTTCTGCTATCCAGAGTAGGTTGACTGCCAGGAGTCTGAGGAAGCCTGTGCAGGAACCCCACAGTGTTAAATCAACTTGTGGTTGTTTCTGCAAGAAGAAAGAGAGCGGTTTCTACCTTCTCAGAGCTTCCAACTCTCTGGTGAGAACTACTGTAAGTTTTGGGAGTGGCCTCAGTTCTCACATGTGTGTTGACTGCTAGATGGTGAGCAGATGGTAAGTGGAGGCAGTTGCCTTTGCAGCCACGTATACTGTATGGCACCTCCCGGCTCACCTTGTTAATGGGAGCTAATGATTCCTCCAGTTCCCTCAACTCTCCTCCTTCAGGTTCCTCGGTACCTGCACTAGCGTTTCTGCAGATCTAGAGTAGAGAACACCACACACCGTGGAGGTTAGAGATGATGAGAGAGTGAGTGGCCTCTGAATTCCCTTGAGAGCTGCAGTGTGCCCTTTAGTGCCCCCTCTTCATGTGCAGCTTTTCTTCTCAACACCCAGCCCAGCTGATCTTTAGTGACTTCAACTAACCTCCTGATGCACCCGTGACAGCCTGTTAGACTTCTGCATCTGCACCCAGCACTGCATATGCTCTAATTCCTATAATAAACCCTTTATTCCATGTCCCTCACATAAGTATGCTTTTGTGATGGAATTCTAACAGGTATGGGCGTGGATTTTTAAGATGGTTATAGGGATGTACTAAATAATTTGGAACAATAATCTACCACATTTTTTGTGAAAGTTATTCATCTGCATGAAATAATATCTGACAAAAAGTGAAAAATCAGTAAGTGTGATCTACTCAATTATTTCAGATTTTTGGAGAAGAGTGTCTCATGAAGTTGGAATGAGGAAAGATTTTAAACCAAGGCTACATGGCCAATCAGGAAGAATGGCATAGCTACTTTGTAGGGTTCAGGAAATGGGATAAGTTTAAGAACAGAAGTCTGATTTAACCCAAAGAAAGTATCTTCTGTAGGTTCAAAATTGACACCCATAAAGAGAATGACTGCTAACAATATCTTGGGAATATAGACTGCGGAAGGAAGGAGAATAATAATTATTCTCTCTCTCTCCAGTGCTGTCTATTCTGGACGATTTACTGTGATCATAACTTTTCAGGAACTCATTAGCATTCCCTCATTTTCGAAGTAAAGAGGTGGAAGCTTGGCATTAAAAATCAAGGGCTGGCTGGCGAGTTAGCATACTAGGTTAGAGCATGCTGCTGGTAACACCACAGTCAAGAATTGGATCTCTGCACCAGCCGGGCTCCAAAAAAAAAAAGAAGCAGCAGCAGCAGCAGCAAGAGCCAATCTCAAAGCAGCACTAATTTTGGAAGTTATTTCTGTCCTGTTTCTCAGCCTGAAATTCATGTACCCTATGCTTTATATAGAAAAGTTAAAATACTCACATGGGATTGAGGGCAGAAAATAGGAATCAGGTTGGATGGATTTTAGTTAGAAGTTCAGATGGTGAATGTCTCCATGATGTTAGGTACTTCTACAAGCCCCACCCACAAGGAAGGAAGTGGAAAGAGGATGTGAAATCCCTTCATCCTCAGTGTTGGGACAGGGCCACCCGCACCCTTTTCTGTAGGTCTGTCTCACTTGTAAGTGGACTCTGTTCTTCAGAAGAACAGTGTTGCTGACGCCAAGGGCCTGGATGGACACAGATCATGAATGTGGTTCTTCCCACCCTGCTCTGTCTTGGTAAGTCCTGGAGGAAAGAGACAGTGAGTAATGAACAGGGGCTACAGAGGGCAGGTGCAACTGTGCAAGAAGGCTGGGCTCTCCTCACCTGGTGTTTTCTTCCAGGGTTGCATCTATGCCAGAGGACCCAGGCACAAGAGAGTGAGTATTCCTTATAATATTTGTCAGGTTCCTACTCTTTGTTTAGGCCAGATGTCAGCAGTTTTGGCAGCTGGAAAGTGGGGACTAAGCATTTAGACTGCTGGCTTTAAGAGGGGAGGAAGTAGAGAATAGTGTGAGAGAAAGACACCCTTGTGAATCCAATACCTGTTCTCTTTCTCCTAGGAAATCTCCCTCGACCTCAGATCCAAGCTCTCCCTGGCTCCATGATTCTGTATAAGAAGCCTGTGATCATCCAGTGCCGAGGGCCTGCAGAAGCTACGTCATACAGAATATGGACAGTGGGAAGCTCTGAGCCCTTGAACAAAAAGAAACGACTGGGATCTGGGAAGACGAACACATTGAATATCACAGAAATGATGCCAGACAGGGCAGGGCTGTACCACTGTTCCTATCAGAGAGGAGGCCGCTGGTCTGAGCACAGTGACCCCCTGCAGCTGATGATGACTGGTGAGTGGACACAGAGGCAGCAGAACCAGGACTGGCCTCTCTGCAGAGGGAAGGACCAGGCTTTGGGGACAGGAAGCATTGAGGAGCAAAACCTCCATTCTTTGGAAGGAATCAGAGATAGTGGAGACAATTTCATTGGGGTGGAACATGGAATGGGGTGGAAACCAGAACCACAAACAGGGAATAAAAAGGGGTGATGAGTGCCCGTGGCCTTCCCATTTATCACCAAATGTCCTCCTTCCGCAGGAGCTTATGACAAACCCTCCCTCTCAAGCATTCCTGGCACTGACGGGGCTTCAAGAGACAAAGTGAGGTTGCAGTGTTTTTCAAAAGTGCCATTTAACACATATATTCTCACCAAAGAAGATGGATCTCACATCATCAAGAACCAAAGCTCAACACCCCAGGACAAAGTCCATCGAGCTGTCTTCCTCGTGGACCACGTCTCCTCCACACAAGCAGGGACCTATAGATGCTTTGGTGTCATGAGTAATAACCCCTATGTGTGGTCTCACCCCAGTGACCCACTGGAACTTGAGGTCAATGGTGAGGAAGGCCAGCCCATCCCCATGTTCCCTCCCAGGGGCTGTGACTGTCCAGTTGGAGCAATGGTTGGGGAAGAGAGGACAGCAGGGTGGGAATGAGAAGTCAGTATCATTTCCTTTGACATGAAGCCAGAGGAATGCACTCCGCCTCACCCACTTAGCAGCTCTCACACTGCAAGCTGGGGGCTGTGGGAAAGGCTAGTGTAGGTCTTTGGGAATACCCAGGTAGCAAAGAGCCTGGGCAGAGATAAAGAAAACCACTCCCATTTTATCCCCATTTACAGAAGTTCCTGGCCATCCCATGGAGTCCAGTCCCTCAATTGGTGAGTAACTGAGTTTAGGTGGAAAATTAAAAGGAGGGGTTTTCCTTTCTCTCTGACTTGGAGTAGAAAAATGATTATGCACCAGAGAGAGAGCAGGTTTTTTAAGTGTGCAGGACACCACAGAGTGTGGATGTTGGAGGGTCAAGAGGGAATAGAGAAAGGAGGTGTGACTTCTCTCCACATGGGAGAACAGAGAGTTAGAAACTCTTGATTGCAAATAAAATTGATACTATCCATAGATATCATTCATCATTGATCCACATTGCCAATATTTCTGGGAGTTTCTGTGATTCTTAGCCCCTAACCTACGGAGCTATACTCCCAGAAGGGCAAATATTCTTAATATCATCTCAAAATAGTTGCTGCAGAGGGCTCTGAACTAATTTGTTCTCAGAAGCCTTTTTCCTTATCCTGTGCTGAGGACACAGAAGATATGAGAACTGTCTCTACGACTAATTCACTGTGTTCACATGAACCAGTCTTTGCAGTCCCTCTGAGCCTCCTTTTCTCCACACACTTAGAAGCAAATTCTGGGATCCCATGTGGAGACCAGTTCCCACTCACTGGCTGAGCGAGGTGCGGGCGCAACACCGAGGGTTGCGATCCCGTTGCCGGTCCCAGTCCGGTACGGGCGCAACGCTGAGGGTTGCAATCCCGTTGCTGGTCACGAAAAAAGACAAAAAGGAAAAAAAAAAAAAAAAGAAGCAAATTCTGTAAAGGACTAAGGAAGGTAATTTGCTCTCAGTCCCATGTTGTTTCTCTGTCAGTGCCTGATTAGGAGACCGTTCACAGAGAAACACACATGAGGAGTTTCCAAAGGTGGGAAACGATAGAGTTTAATTCTGGTCTTGTTGCCATCGAGTTGGCCACATGTCATCCTAGGAGAAATGTGCAATGGATGTTGGTTTGATAAGTTTTGAGCTATAACAGAGTGCAGGGTTGGAGATACAGGCGTGTAATTGATCAGCATAAAGACAGAAAAGGAAGTAGATGGGATAATCCAGGCTATGTGCATAGAATGGGAAGGAAAAACAAGAACATGCAAGCAAACAAAATCTATTGGGGTCAAAAATATACCAGATACAGGTGGAACAGAGGTTGGAAAACTATGGTCCTCGGGCTAAATCCTGCTCACTCTGCCTATTTGGTTAAAACAAAAGAAAGTTTTGTTGGAATCTAGCCATGCTTGTTTGCTTACGTGTTGTCCATGTCTGATTTTGCATTATTCAACTTTTTCCACAATATCTTAAGTGTTCAATTCTTAATTGGTGACGTGAGCTCTTTCATTGACTTTGCTAGCATTACACTCTGGATATTTGTCTTTTGGCTCCTTCTTGAATTGTTCTTCCCCTACCCCCCAGTTGGCAAATATTTTTTGTGAAAGGGCAGATACATATTTAGGGTTTTGTGGGCCATCCAATCTCTTTCACAACTACTCAACGCTAGCATTGTATCACAAAAGCCACCACAGAAGATACAAAGTGAGTGAGCATTATTCCAAGAAAACACTATTTACAGATACTGCCCTTTGATTTTAAGAGCATTTTCAGGGATCATGGAATCTTATTCTTCTTTTGATGTGTGTCAACCATTTAAATATGTAAAATTTGGGCTGGCCAGTTAGCTCAGTTGGTTAGAGCACATTGTCATAACACCAGGTCAAAGGTTCAGATCTCTATACCAGCTAGCCACAAAAAAATTTTAAAAAGTAAAAATGTAAAATTCATTCTTAGCTCGTGGATTATACAATAACAGACAGTGAGCCAGGTTTGGTCCATGGGCCATAATTTGCTGATCTCTACTCTAGTGTGACACAAATTCAGACACTATGTCCAAGTCTTTCAGCATCTGTGAGTTTCATTGAGTAAGCAGATGAGGTGGTCAAAGTTCATTCCCATTTTCAGAGAAATGGGGTCAACAATTCTGTTGCTGTGAGATTGTAGTCAAGGTCTGAGAAAGTGTACAGGAACTACACAGTGCGGGGAGGTACTTTATAAAGAGAAGCTGCTCCAACATGATTTCTCTTTTGTAGCCCCACCTGACAACCAAAGCCTCCAGAAGGACATTCTGATTGGCATCCCAGTGGCTACTGTTCTCATTCTCACCCTTGTCCTCCTCTTCTTCATCTTCCACCATTGCAAAGCCAAAAACAGTATGTCCATGAGAGGGTGAGGGGAAGCCTTCATAGAGGAGGACGGTGCAAATCAGAGGGGAAATGGGGACGTGGCATTTGCTGAGGATGAGGAAGGGGGTTGAGGGAGACAGTGAGGTGTGGGCGAGTGTGCTGGCTCATCCTGGCACCACGATACCTTCCTGAGCCTCAGTTCCTATCTGGGAAATCAGAAGACAGGGCTGGTGGGATCTGGACCTGTCAGAAGACATGACCACCTCTGTCTTAGTCCATTTAGGCTGTTATAACAGAATACCAAGATGAGGTGGCTTAGTCAACAAGCATTTATTTCTCATAGTTCTGGAGACTGGCAAGTCGAAGATCAAAGCACCAGGAGATTACATTCTTGGTGAGGGCTCTCTTCCTGGTTTGCAGATGGCCACCTTCTCACTGTGTTTTCACATAGCAGATAGAGGAAATCACATCTCTGGTCTCTTTGTATAAGGGCACTAATTCCATCATGAAAATTCCACCCTCAACACCTCATCTAAACGTAATCACCTCCCAAAGGCTCCACCTTCAAATACCATCCCATTGGGGCTTAGGGCTTCAATGTATGAATTTGCAGGGAACACAAACATGCAGTTCATAACAATCTCCTATTCCCTTCAGGTGTTGATAGGAAAGAGAGACAGCCAGAGGCGGGACCAATGGATGGACAGGTAAGGAGTTTCTCCTCTACTCTGCCCCCAACAATTCTTTAGTCCTCAACATCACACGGCCATTTCATAACTTCCCTTCCTTCCCCAGGCCTATGAAGCTTTAGTACCAAAGGAGGTGACCTATTCGGAGCTGACCTGCAGTGCCCTTACCCAGGGGACAGCTATGACACCCTCCTCATTGCCCAGCCATACCCAGACCAGCGAGTATGCAACTCTTGCCCTAAGATAAGTCATGAGCCAGTGCAGAGCATATCAACTGGACAGTAGAGCTTCCAGCTGCCCGTTGGATGGTCTCTCCTCTGGGATCACTGCTTCTAAATCTCAGGTGGTCAGCCTGACTGAGAGGACCCACGTTACTCAAAAGTCCCACCTGCCCACTGAATCTAGAGACCTCAAGAATAAAGTTCCAGAATCTCTACTATCATTGCCCAGCCATTCCCAAGATCCTTCCAAAGGTATCAGAAGAGTAATACAATAATTTTTCATAAACTCTAATTATTCATCAATTAAACAAATATACTTACATCCTCTTGGGCACTAGTTTTTATGTTACAGACTCAGGGAACAGAAATGATCCAAAAACCATCCCTCTTGTCAAAGAGCTTGTTGTCTAATGGAGGTATATTAATCCATTTCTGTTGCTTATAACAAAATACCTGGAACTGGGTAATTTATAAAGAAACAATGTCAATTGCTTATAGTTTTGGAGGCTGGGAAGTCCAAAGTCCAGGGAACACATCTGGTAAGGGTTTTCCTTGGTGGTGACTTCAACAACACAGGATATCACATTGGGAGATGGAAGAAGCATAGAGAGACTCTCATGTGCTCTCCTTTTAAAGCCCTTAGAACCATGCCCATGACCACCATTAAACCATCAACTTAATCAACTCTTCAAGGCTCCACCTTTCAATTACCATAATAGGATTTCTCACCCTCTTAACATTGTCACAGTGGGGACCAAGCCTCCAACACATCAAACTTTGGGAGGACATAATCCAATCTACTGCAGGAGGCATGGGCAAATTACAGCCCAAGGGCCAAATCTGGCAATTTGCATTTTTCTGTACAACCCCCCAAGCTAAAAAATTTCTTTACATTTTTTTTGCTTTTTTATTGTGGTAAAATATGCATAACATGAAATTTACCATTTTAGCCATGTTTAAATGTAAAGATCATGACATTAAGTCCATTCATATTGTTGTGCAATAATTACCACCATTGTGGGGGTTTTTTGTTTGTTTTTGGCAGCTGGCCAGTATGGGAATCTGAACCCTGACATTAAGTGTTATAACCCTATGCTCTGACCAACTGAACTAACCAGCCAGCCCACCATTGTGTTTCTATATGGTTGAGAAAAATCAAAAGGAGATTAATTTTTTAACAGCTTTGTTGAGGTAAAATTGATATACAAGTAACAGCATATATTTAATGTATACAATTCGATGAGTTTGGACATATGCAGACGCCCATGATTCCATCACTTCAATCAAGGTAACAGACATGTACAAAAGACCAAAAGACCCCAAATAAGATAAAAGCATATGGTAAAATGTAGAGTATGCATAAAGCATATGTACTTCACAGGACCTGGTTTTCCAAAGCCTTGCAGTTTCAAATATTGACCTTAGAAAAAACCAGGAAATTTTCCCCAGGCTATTGAGTCTCTGTTGTAAGATAAAGAGTTGTAACATAACAAGGCTGCTGGTTCAAAGACAGACAGGTTACTGATTGATATGTAAAGATACTGGGAAATTGCTGTAAGAAGAGAATGTTTGCTAAAATCAAGCTTTTGTTAGTGGATTGACTTAATTGCATGTTACCAGCTGCTATTGTTAAACTTGTTAAACTGTACTTAGAAAAAAGCCCACCTATGTCTCTTCCTGTAACTTCCTGTGCTGGAGAATAAATGCAGGAAGAGAACCCCAATTCATGGTTAATTTCCCAAAATGGAAGGAATGCCTTTCTCTTGAGGGTTCAGGGAGACTAACCCCTTTTTGAGCCTTCTCATTGTTCAGAAGAGATGGGCTTTGAGTAATCTTTGGTGGCTCTGTCACCCAGGGGAAAAGGGGTGACAAATCCATGGGAGGCAAAGCAACAGTAAACTAATAATGTTTTTTCTAGCTTTACTGAGATATAATTGACAAGTAAAATTGGTGTATGTTTAAGATGTACAACTTGATATTTTGATATACATCAACATTGTAAAATATTCACCACAATCAAGCTACTTAACATACCGATCATCTTATGTACTTATCTTTTTTTGTGTGGTGAGAACACTTAAGACCTACTCTCATAGCACATTTGAAGTACACAATACAATATTCTTCTTTTTTTTTTTTTTTTTTTTTTTTTGTGACCGGTAAGGGGATCGTAACCCTTGGCTTGGTGTCGGCCGCACCGCGCTTAGCCAGTGAGCGCACCGGCCATCCCTATACAGGATCCAAACCTGCGGCAGGAGCGCCGCACTCTCCTGAGTGAGCCACGGGGTTGGCCCACAATACAATATTCTTAACTAGAGTCACATTACTGTATATTAGATCTCCAGAACTTGTTCATCCTGCATAAATGAAACTTTGTACCCTTTGGCCAACTTCTCCCTATTATTTCCTCCACACAATCCCTGGAAACCACCATTCTACTCTCAGTTTCTATGAATTTTACTATTTTAGATTTTATGAATAAATGAGATCATACGATATTTATCTTTCTGTGCCTGGCTTATTTCATTTAACATAATGTCCTCCAGGGTCATCCATGTTGTAACAAATAATAGAATTTCCTTCTTTTTTTTTTTTTTTTTTGGTCCTTTTTTGAGACTGGCCACACCGCACTCAGCCAGTGAGCGCTGTGAGCGCACCGGCCATTCCTATATAGGATCCGAACCTGTGGCGGGAGCGCTACTGCGCTCCCAGCGCCGTACTCTCCCGAGTGCGCCACGGGCTCGGCCCAGAATTTCCTTCTTTTTTAAGGCTTAATTATATTCCATTCTTCATTCGTTCATATGTCAAGGAACATTTAGGTTGTCAGTCTGCAGTTTTGCCAACTCCAGTACTCGATCAGAGTTGGGCAAACTGTATTCCATGGGCCAAATCTGGCCTGCCACCTGTATTACTTATTTTTTGGTGTTTTGGGGGGGTTTTTTGTTTTGTTTTTTATGGCAGCTGGCTGGTATGGGGATCTGAACCCTTGACCTTGGTGTTATAACACTGTCCTCTAATCAACTGAGCTAACTTGCCAGCACCACCTTTTTTGTGAATAAAGCTTTATTAGAACACAGCCCTATCAATTTACATATTGTCTATGTCAGCTTTTGCACTACAATGGTGAAGCTAAGTCTTTGAGACAAAATGTAGGGCTCACAAAGTTTAAAATATTTACACCTGGCCCTTTACAGGAAAAGTTTGCCCACCCCTGGTCTAGTAGGTGAAGAAAGTTAGACAGACAATATTCTGTAACAATGCAGTCGGTCAAGTTATAAGAAAATTGTAATAAATGAGGCAGAGGGAATTGACAAGAGAAACAGAAGCTGGCCAGGAAGGCCATACCAAAGCATTCAAGCACATAAAAAAAAGATGCAATCCCTTTCAATGAAATGACACTATAAAAGTGTATTGCCACATGTTAGGAACTATAAACTGACTTAGATTGAGCACCAAGCAGAGGAGAAATAGGAAGTAAGGCTAGTGGGAACCAGCTGAGGTCAGATCCAACATCAGGTAAAGTCTGGATTTTAAAGGTAAAGGGACTGGGAATCGAGGAGGAGTTTTGAATGGAACAGCGGCATAATTAGGGCTGTATCTGAGAAAGATCTCCCTGGAGGCTACTGTGGAGATTGGAAGGGAGGAGATTAAGAAAAGGGGAGTCAATTGGAAAACTAATGATAGGACGGTGGCCACGGAAGTTGAAATCAGCTAAGGAGTGTGTAACAACTCACCTGCAAAAAATAAAAAAAGGAAGAAAGAAAACTAAGGAGAGGAGCCCTGTCAGAGAAGGTAAGGTCTGAGGTCCAGTAAGGGTCAAGGGCATAGAAAGGAAGGAGCACATTTTAGATCTACTGAGAAAGTAGAAGCAAAACAGAGGCTGCAGCACCTGACAGAACGCTGTGTTTAGTGAAAGAAGTTGGCAGAAGTGTCAATCAGTACAGAACTTCTAGAAGGCAGATTGCAAAATGTCTCAAAATATAAGCTGTGCATCACAGTTGACTCAACAAACTCATTTTAGAAACTTGACCTTAAGAGATGGTTACACAATATGGAACTGTTTTTGCAGAAATTCATAGTTCAGAGTTCTTTAAATAGCTACACAAGTACACAAATACACAGATGCACACACATAAGAAAAACAAATACACACATGCAAAAATATATACACAAATACAAAAAATTATATAGAAGTAGTGTAAGACCGGCCTAAAAGCACGAATCTTAACTTGATGGGAAGGCTCATCTCGCAAAGACCAGGAGGCAGAGAGATCGATGCACAAGCAAGAGGTTTTATTTCCGGCATGCTGGAGGTCGCCCCATTTTCAGGACAGGAGCGGCCCCGAATTCACAATGCAAGCAGCTTTTATACAGTTTCTTGAACAGATAGGATCAACTGTTAGTTATCTGTGGCGCTTTTAGATTTACAGGTGGGCTTCAGCTGGCGCCTTTTGGGTTTACAAGGGGGTTTTAGCAGGCTGGCACCCCTTTAGCGCATTTCTCAATTGTTTACCTTCCCCGGGGCCTTGCTTTGAACCAACTATTTCCTGGAACCAGTGGGGGGCTTTTAGTGCGCTTGGGCCTGGCCTTTGTCACGGCCCCTGATAAGCTGCATTGCTTATGCATTTTAGTGTGCTCGGGCCTGACCCTTGTTCTGGCCCCTAAAAAAACTGCTTTGCTTATTATACATTGTTACAAGACTGCGTACATTAAGGTTATATTTTCCTACAATTCTACTACTTATATTCTATGTCTCCCCTACATTTTAATTTATTTCCAACAGTAGACCATGGAAATAATAAAGATAATTATGTACATGAACAAATGGAAAACTTCGTTTAAATGGTGTGTGTGTATGTGTGTGTACATGAGGGTACTTCAAAAGTTCATGGAAATATTTGTATTGTCATTTAATCCTACTTTTCCACAACCTTTTTTTTTCCCTACGAACTTTTTGAAGGACCCTCATGTATATACTTAAATAAAAACTAAAGGAGGCCATTGTTTTGGTTTAAACTCCTGCACT